GTTTCTCCTTCGCTTAAATATGAGTCTCCTTGCCATGTCGCTTCCTGCCTTGATCACCACTTCTCTACTACATTTCCCAGAATCCTCTTTGACTCCTAGTCCTGTCTAACTTGCTGTCTCATTGGCCAAACAGTATTTTATTTAACAATCAATAAGATAAACATACACAGTACATTCCCCATCATCCTTCCCTTCAGGCAGACCTTGATCTACTCAGTATAGCTGAAATTAATTATGCTCAATGAAAACCAAACTTTCTAATCTTTTACTTTCTAATCTTTCTTGCAGCAAGGGGTCAGAATTCTAGCCAACTGGAACTCTCTTACCCAGGAAGTTCTCACTTGGCTGATATAAAGAAGTCCCATTATCCCTTTGCTACCAGAGAAGTGGTAGTTGTGAAACTACCATGATGACAAAAACTACTCACATGGGACGACAATGAAGAAAGAGAAAGAATTTGGAAGCTTTCAGAAGTATTGACCAGATTTGGCCTGTTTTGTTTTGTTTTATGAAAGAAAGTAAAAGAAGAGAAGGGAAAAAGAAAATGACTCAATTTGGCTAATTGGGCTTCTATTACAATTGGCCAAACACAGTCTGTAGTGATACACTGGCTTCCTCTGAGTCCTTGATTGAAATAACGGGAAGCCACACAGCAGAGGCCAGCTTCTCTTGAGATGAATCTATGCTGTCTGGCTATAAAATTCACCAACCATCTTCCTACTCAGCCCTCAAGGTGCACTGTGTCTACCTAGACGGCCTAGGTAGAAGAGTTGTCTTCTAAAACTCCAATCTACTCTGCCCCCAGCCTCCCCTGATTTCTCAGATTAGTAATGCCATCCCAAAACAGTCTGCAGGGAGTCCTGTCTTCCCTGTGGTGCACACATGTGATTGCAGGAAAAACACCCATCCCCATAAAACTGAAATAAAACAATCTTTTGGTTTACTAAAATAAACCAAAAAAAAAAAAAAAGTTTCATGTGGGTGGTCCATACTCTCTTGTGAAGTCACTATTTCCCTTCTTGAGTACCACCTTTTTTTCATCCTACTGTGCCTGATCTGGGTTCAAAAATGCCCCCAGATTTGTGTGTGTGTCTTTTTCCCTCTTCCTGCTTATCTGGATGTTTACTGGTGGCATTGTGTGTGTGTGTGTGTGTGTGTGTGTGTGTATGTGTAAGGGAAAGTGTCTTATTTTCTAATAAAGGGGGTGGAGGCTAACTGCAGCTTCAAAGATGCCAATCCACAAAGGAGCACTTTAACCATCAGGAAACAAAGCTACCAAGATACAGCTGCAGTTTCCTTGGTTACCTCACATCCTATTCTTTGTCTACTGGGTCAAGATGAACCTAACCACTGAAGGGGTAGTTGTACAGGGCACCGTCTCATTCCTGCTCATGTCTGCCTAGCTACTCACAGTAACAGTGCCCTCCACTGTTCTGTTCTTATTTTAAGCAGTGCAGATGCGTCCTGCTTGGCTGAGTCTCCTGACCCTCGTGCACATTCAGGAAAGCTAAGACATGAATATTGGTGCATTAGTACCAACCGCACACCAGGCTATTTAGCTCTCATCATTTTCTCCCTGTCATTTCAAGATCAGCCTAGGATCCCACATTGCATTTAATCTTCATTCATGCTTAGTTTCATTCTTCAGGGTACGTCTAACTTTTTTTCCTCCTTTCTCATCCCAATTATTAGGTTTTGAACTAGAAAATTCTCTCTGGGAGCTGGAGAAATGATCCGGTGGTTAAGAATGCATTCTTTTGTAGAGGACCTGAGTTCAGATCCCAGTGCCCTCACTGGGTAATTCAAAACCACCTCTAACTACAGCTCCAGGAACTCTGGAGTCCTCTTCTGGCCTCTGAGGACACTGTGTTAACATGCACATGGTTTGAATAAATTAAAAAAAAAAAACTTTTAAAAGAAAGGTCCGTTTCCCTGTTATTTTCTTTAGTTTATAAGGCAGCCAAGTTTTTCTTTAAATATATTCTCTTTAAAGAGCCTATCCCATTGGATGGGGGCAGAAATCATTCGTTAGAAATCTGAGGCTCCCCATAGTCCCTGGACTCAACAAACGTGGTGAAGTGTTCATTTGCAGCCATGTTTCACCACTGCTCCCCCTATCGGTCCAAAGGAGGTCTTAAGTGAAAGTCTCGGAGATTTCCCTTCATCTTATGTCTAAAAGTCTGTGCCTTTGAACAAAACATTTGACAGGAGCTAGGATGCTGGGCCTGACGCCAAGAGTGAGTCTGAGCCTGGGGATCCAGCCAACGCCCCAGTGACGGCACTCTAGGGGATCTGGAAAGAGAGGAAGCTGGGTTGGATATCACATTGCATCTTTGTGGGATTAAGAGAAAAACAGCAACAAAAATCAGCCCCATGAAGTTAATGGACCTTTAATAGGATTAAAAGGTAAATGAAGTAGTGATGAATTCAGGGTGTGTGTGTGTGTGTGTGTGTGTGTGTGTGTGTGTTTACTGAGGATTGCCCTTAGGACCTTGTACATGATGTAACACCAGCCTTATTTTTACATTTTATTTTTTGAAATTTTACAAGTTGCCCAAGCTCTCTCTCTCTCTCTCTCTCTCTCTCTCTCTCTCTCTCTCTTCTCCCTCCATCCTCCTCCTCCCTCGCCTTCCTTCCTCCCTCCCTCCTTCCTTCTTTCATGTATGCATGCCACAGTATACATGTGGACATCAAAAGGCCATTTGCAGAAGTCAGTTCTCTACCTCTACCATGTGGGATTCAGGGATTAAACCCACTAGCCACCTTGCTAATCTTGGCCTTGAATTTTTGGTCTTCCTTTCTCATGTAACTCCCAAGAAGCTGTGAGTATCCCACCAGGCCCAACACATATTTTATCTAATGCTATATAAAGATATACTTAAATGTTATAAATATGTCATTATTTTATATGCAACTAATTGTATTAAATTCATTATGGGGCTAGAGAGATTGCTTAGTGGTTAAGAGCCCTTGTTGCTCTTGCAGAGGACCTAGAATCAATTCCCAGCACCCACATGATGGTTCATAACCATCCATAGCTCCAGTTCCAGTGACTATGAAGCCCTCTTCTGACTTCTCTTGGCATCAGGCAAACGAGTGGTACATATACATTCTCGCAAGCAAAGCATTTATATGCAAAATATAAAACAAATCTAAAAACTTTTAAATCTATTTACATGCAATGTAAACATTATATTTTTATACAATCTATTCAAACACTGAGATATCAAATTATTGCTGACATGACCATTAGGCATTATTTTTAAAATTCCCCTCAAAGAAGAGATAGTTGACAAGGACTTGGAGTTTTTCAACAAATAACACAACCAACAAATCCTCCTTATTTTTACTGGGGAAAAAAATACTGTATGTCAAGTTGGCCACTGATTGTGACAATTTAACAGGTAAGATTCCAAAATCTACTACTGGAAGATGTGAAGTTTGTCTGTTTCTGTAATGGCACTTTACTGTAGTCAATGCCACAAATGTTGCTCATCACATTACATTTGACATTCATTAAGTACGTATTGTGCCCTAAATACTGGGTTCTAGGCTAAACCTGCTTTAGTTGAATTAAATAATCTTGTTCTCATAACCTCAAGCTTGAACTCATATCCACTTTGCAGATTAGAAAACTAAAGTTTAGGGTGTCCATTCATCCAAGTTACTTGTTAGTAAAGGAGTAGTTTTACCAGGAGCAGGAAAAGGTGCTACAATCCTTACTTTTTTGCTCCTATGACCAAATACTGGCCAAAAGTAACATATGGAAAGAGCCTTTGTTTTGGCTTAAGGTTTGAGAGGGTCCAGTCCATCACAATAGGGAAGGATTGATACTGAAGTGGCCTAGTTCATGGCATAATCAGGAAGCAGAGAAAGGTTCAGGCCACGACTCAGCTGGTGTTCTCATTTTTTCCATATTTATTCTGTTATGGACCCTAGTCCAAGCAATGGTGCAGCCCACATTCAAGGTAGAGCTTCTGTCCCACAGCTAATCCTCTCAGAAACACTCTCACAGAAACACCCAAAGGTATGCCCTAGGTATTCCTGACTTCACCCATGTGGAGGAATTAAACTATCACAGGTGCCTGGAAAGTTAAAACCTGAAAAAATAAAAAGAGGATCCAATAATCCCTTGTTATTTACTGGAGGGAGGTGCATGTAGGGTCTTCCTTGAACACCAAAACTACTTAAATCTTTAATATAAAGTGGTATAGTTGCTGCATGTAACCTATGCCTATCCTGTACACATGAACCATTTCTGACTTAACGATGTCCTCCAATACAATGAGACATGTGAATAGTTACCATAATGTACTGCTTAGGGAGTAACACAGGAAGAGCCTGTACAAGCTCAGTAAAGATTTGGTTTGATTTGGAATGCTTTTATCTCATGTTCATTGAATCTGTGAGTGTGGTAGGCTGCAGATCCAGACAATCACTTATATTGAGAGAAAGAGAAATATTTCAACAAAACACAGAGGGGAAATTGCCCACTTTTAATTTATACTATTTTTAGTCTGATGGCTGTCTTTATTTCTTCCTCCCTCTTGAGAGAATCTGAGGGCATAGGGCCCCCTGATGAGGTGGCACAGCTGTGGAGGCTTTGGGGCCACTCTGGACACGCCTCTAACACAAGCACCTGCAAGAGGTAGTTCACACTTGAGGTCCATCTGCTGGAAAGACCTTAGAGCTGAGCACGTTTGTTGTTAAGCAGCCGAGCAGTCCCATTTTGTGAGGTACAACACAAACCCTTTGCATGAAGAGGGAGACTGGCAGGTAATTCTCCATTTCATCAAAAGCTGAGCACTTAAGCATGAGTCTGAACTAATCATTCCACTGCAAAAACCTATATTTTTGTTGATGCTTTTGAGGATTTTTATAAGTAATAGCTGTATCATTTGAATATGGTTTATTCCCATCAAAACTCATGCTGGGGCCTCCTGCCTTGTCAGTTAGCGTGGAGAGTGGGAGGTGTTTGATTTATGGAGATGGCATCACCGTGAATAGATTGCTTCCATCTTGGGAGTGGGTGAGCTCTCCCTCTCCTGGGACTGCATTAGTCCTTGACAAGGTTGTTCTGAAGCTCCGTTATTCTGAGTATTTGTCTCCATGAGTGCCTGCTCCCTCCGCTTCTCATGCCCCAGGCTTCACCAAACACTCAGCAGATACAGCTGCCCCATCGTGGATCTCCCGCCTTCACACTGTGAAAAAAAAAAGAAAAGAAAAGAAATTCTTCTATGTGAATTACGCAGTCAGAACGCAAGAGCTGGGAAATGGGGAGGAGGGCTATGAGATACTGTATTTTGGTCATGACATGACCAGTGCACTCATGAACTCACAACATGCATGGTTGCATGTGTAAAGCCTGCACAAGACTGGGCCTGTTAACATTCAGTCATGGCCGAAGAAGGGACTCATGGGACCTGACCCCTTTTGTCTCTACTTCTTCCAAGGAAGCAAGAGTGAACAGAACCCCTCTTCTGTGATGCACCGAGCCACTACAAACAGAAGCACCAGGACTAGTGACCATGGACTGAGACCTCTGAATTCCTGAGCCAAAGTAAACATTCTTCCTTTTTATCTGACCACCTCAGGTATTTAATGTGACAGTGATAGCTGACTGGAATTCTGACCTTGGTATTTAATTGCTACTTGAATGAACACAATCATTTTCCTCAGAGCCTGTTGTAATCTCTCCAGCTATCCAGCCATTAACATCCTCCCGATCACTTGCCCCAGTAACCATTGATCTTTCCTCACTATGAACTAGTTTGCCTTATCTGAAACTCTATTCAGATGAACTTAGTAATAATTTTGTGTGAATTCTTTCACTCAGCACAGTTATTTTAAGATTCTCCCATGTTGTGTGCATTAATAATTCATTCCTTTTTATTAAACATTAAGAAACAAAGGCAAATGGGCAATTAGATGATGTGAAGACCCCACTCTGAAAAGCTCCTGACAGAGCCTAATATATGCTCAGGGGAGTCAGTCACATGGACTGTGTTTTCTGCTCTCGAAAGATCAGGTTCTACAATGACAAGCAAGTCAGCCACTCGGGTGTGGTTACTGAGAATGTGCCGTATGCCAAGCATGGTAAGTCCAAGCAAACTAAGTCAAAATTCAAGGAGACATAAGCCTGGTGAGAGAGAAATGGCAGGCTTAGTGGGAGCCAGGAGGATCTTCCAAACAAAGTGAATATTACATTACTTGCTGCATGACAAATTACCCACCCCCCACACACACATTAGCAAATTAATAAACAAGAGCATTTCTTATCTCCTGCTTTCTGTATGCTGGGATCCTAAAGCAGTTCAGCTACAGGGTAGTTCTGGCTCTGTGTTGCTTAGGAAGTTGAAGGCAAACAGATGGCCAAAAGAAAATCTGCTGCCAAGTTGACTTGGACCACAGCTGGAATCCTCAGGTCCTCATAGACTGTTGGCCAGTGACTTTAGTGTACTGTCAAACGAAGAGTCTTCATGACACACAGCTAGCTTCTCATAGAGTTTGAACTAAGAGATAGAAGCCACGGGCTTTTAATAACCTAATAGAGGAAAGGATGTCCAATTGTTAGCACTAGTCACAAAGAACCTAAATAGAAATGAGCTAGGGGCAGCATGCAGTGTGGGTTACCAGGATGGGGACATCTTACAGGATAGCTAACTGAAGAATTGGCAGTGAGCACATGTGTCACTTAGCCATAGCCCTTGATTTAGGTATTTTCTGTATGAATGGAAACTTCGTGTGACTAAATCTGCCAAGATCCTTTAAAATATCACAATGGCTTCTGATATGACACATTGCAGATAAGAGACAGGGCGAATATAGTCACCATACATCACATTCACCCCCATTTGCTTATTTGCATGTCATAGATTTGTTCCACTAAGGCAGCTGTCTGGTTACCATGGCAACAGCTCAGAGGTAAATTTCCCTCAAGCACAAAGGCAATGGGAAGAGTAAAATTAAAGAGACTTGAAACAAAGAACAAAAAAAAATTATCTTTGTTTGCCCATATGAACCTGATAAATTTTAAATTGTGCAATAAAATCCAAAGAGAGAGCCCCACCAAAGATATTATGTATGGCTAAGACATTATATATAGTTTTATTTTGAAGAAATACAAAAGAAATGTTTGTAGAACTTTCAATGTTAACAGAGAATACTTTAAAACATCCACAGAATATTATCATGCAGAAATTTGAATGTGAATCTGGATGAGGTAAATGGGAAATACAGAGTGGAAGGTGGTGAGGGTAGAGCTTTGGATAAGGAGATACAAAAAGGAATTGGTCCCAAATTAGCTGTCCACAATTCATTTGGTCCATTGTTTGATTACTGTACACTGTGACTTCAGCTAAGTTGGGGGCCACTCAGAGTCATAGCAACTTGCCCTTGATCTTTTCTACAAGGCAGCTTTGACAATGTCAATATAGTATTTTGAGGCTCTCAAGTGGGAGACAGTATGCCCTGAAAGACATGACCTCTGAGCATCACTCTATGCTGGTTCATCTATATTGAAAAACAGACCAGGAATGGAGTCATCCATATAAAACCAGTTCATTGCAAAGTCATCTTGCCATGCATGGATACTTAACAGTATCAGCAAATATAAACAGAAACTTCTCCCACATGTCAGAATAAGGTTTTCCTGGGGGTAATTTGATTCTCCCTCCAAACACTGTTATCTAGTAAGAAAGAAGATATCTATCCAGGAGTGGTAACACAAAACTGTAACCCTAGCACTTGGAAGGTTAAGGCAGGAGGATCATGATTTTGAGGCTAGCCGACTATATAGCAACATAGATCCCAACTCAGGAAAACAGAACAGACTAAAACAACTAACTGTGCCTCATATGCTCATGAGCTTTCTGCTACCACAGAGAGCTTGTTGGCTCCCATTGTAATCATGTCCCTTCAGACTCTGTGTACTTTGAAGATTGCTTTAAAAGTATGGGAACATTGCCCAATTCTTTTTATGAGGCCACAGTTACCCTGATTCCTAAACCACATAAAGGCCCAACAAAGAAAGAGAACTACAGACCAATTTCCCTTATGAACATAGATGTAAAAATAATCAATAAAATCCCTGCAAATCAAATCCAAGAACACATCTAAAGAATCATCCACCATGATCAAGTAGGCTTCATCCCAGAGACACAGGGATGGTTGAACATATGTGAATTGAAAAATGTAACACACCATATAAATGGGATGAAAGACAAAAACCACACAATCATCTCTTTAGATGAAGAAAAGGCCTTTGACAAAATTCGACACCCCTTTATGATAAAAGTCCTAGAAAGATAGGGTTACCAGGGACATACATCAAATAATAGAGGCCATTTATAGCCAACATCAACTTAAATGGAAACAAACTCAAAGCATTTCCATTAAAATCTGGAACAAGACAAGGTTGTTTACTCTCTCCATACCTATTCAATATAGTACTAGAAGTCTTAGCTAGAGCAACAAGACATCTTAAAGCGATCAAGGGGATACAAATAGCAATGTAAGAAGTCAAAGTATCATTATTTGCAGATGATATGATTGTATGCATAAGTGGGCTTTAAAATTGCACCAGAAAACTCCTACAGCTGAAGTATCAGGGTACAAAATTAATATACAAAAGTCAGTAGCCTTTTTACATATGAATGACAAATGGACTGAGAGAAAAGTAAGGAAAACATCACCGTACACAATGGCCTCAAAAATATGAAATATCTTGGGGTAACTCTAACCAACTTGAATGATAAAATTTTTAAGATAGTGAAAAAATAAATTGAAGAATGTATTAGAAAATGGAAAGATCTCTCATGCTCATGGATTAGTAGGGTTAATTTAGTTTTTTTTTTTAATCTATCAAATGTAACCTGCAGATTTAATGTAATCCCCATCAAAATTCCAACCTATTTCTTCATAGATCTTGAAAGGACAATTTGCAGCTTGATATGGAAACACACACACATGCACACACAGAGAGAGAGAGAGAGAGAAAGAGAGAGAGAGTGAGAGAGAGAGGAGAGACAGAAAGAGAGACACATGCACAGAGAGAGAGAGAGAGAGAGAGAGAGAGAGAGAGAGAGAGAGAGAGAGAGAAAAAGAGAGGAGGGGGGTCAGGATAGCTAAAACAAATCCTGAATAGTAAAATAACTTATGGAGGTGTCACCATCCTCCATCTCAAGTTGTACTACAGAGCTATTGTAATAAAAACAGCATGGCACAGAAAGACACATTGATCAATGGAATCCAGTTGAACCAAAAATAAGTTTACACTCCTTTGGGCACCTGATTTTTGATAAAGAAGCCAGAAATACACACTGGGGGAAAACCGCCAGCATCTTCAACAAATGGTGCTGATAGAACTGGATGGCGAAATGTAAAGAATGCAAATGATCCAAACTTATAACCCTACAAAAACTCAACTCCAAATGAATCGAAGGCCTCAACATATGACCAAATACACTGAGTCTGATAGAATAGAAAGTGGGGAACAGTCTTGAACTCATTGGTACAGGAGGAGACTTTCTGAACAAAACACCATTAGCACAGGTACTGAAAAGAACAATTAATAAATAGGAACTCATGAAATCAATAAGCTTCTGCATGGCAAAGGATGCTATCCTTTGGACAAGGCAGCAGGCTACAAAATGGGAAAAGAATTTTACTGACTACAAATCTGAGGATTTGTAGAGGATTAATATCTAAAATATATAAAGAATTAAAAAAAACTGAACATCAAGAAAACAAATAACCCAATTTAAAAAATAGGGTACATATCTAAACAGATAATTCTCAAAAGAGGAATCTCAAAATAGCTGAACAGTACTTAACAAAATGGTCAACATCATTAGTCATAAGATAAATGCAAATCAAACCGCTTTGAGATTTCATCTTGCACCAGTCAGAATGACTAAGATCAATAACGCAAGTGACAGCTCATGCTGGTGAAGATGTGGGGAAAGAGGAACACTTCTTATTCATTGCTGAATGGAGTGCAAACTTGTAGAGCAACTATGGAAATCAGTATGGATGTTCCTCAGGAAACTGGGAGTAGTTCTACCCAAGCCATACCATATACTCAAAGGACATTTCATCTCACTACAGAGACAGTTGCTCAACAATGTCCATTTCTGCTCTATTTATAACAGCCAGAATGGAAACAGCCTAGATGTCTGTCAGTGGATGAATGGATAAAAAA